TGCCAATCCTCCTCTTTTTGCTGAGGAAGATTGGCCCTGGGCTAACATCCGTGCCCATCTTCCTCTACTTTATATGTGGGATGCCGCCACAGCATGGCTTGACAAGGAGTGCATTAGTGTGCGCCTGGGATCTGAACCTGCGAACCCTGGGCCACTGAAACGGAGCACGTGAACTTAACCGCTGCACCACTGGCCCGGCCCCATGAACGTTATATTTTTAACTGCATCAATAAAAAATTTGTGAAAATTTGTCTTTTCTTTTATTAAGTACCTACATAATATCCTCGATTTTGTCTCTGGACCCACAAAGTGGTTATTATCTGGCCCTTTACAGGAAAAATTTGCCAGCTCATGACCTAGTTATTTTTACCTGCACTTTTAGGTTCACAGCAAAATTGAGTGAAAGGTACAGAGATTTCCCATATACCCACAGCGCCCACCCATGCATAGCCTCCCCCATTAACCACATCCCCCACCAGAGTGGTACATTTGTTCCAATTGATGAACCTACATTGACACATGATAACCACCCAAAATCCATAATTCATTCCTTTTCACGGCTGAATAGTATTCTGTTGTATGGCTATACCACAGTTGGTTTACCCATTCACCAACTGATGGACATTTGGGTCCCCCGCTTTTGGCCATTATGAATAATGCTGCTTGAATATCCACATTGCAGTTTTTGTGTGGGTGTATGTGTTTAGTCCTGTTGGGTATATACCCAGGAGAGGCCAAACTCTCTTTACGCCCTCCTGTGGCAATCCTCTCTTTAGCCCACTCCAGCCACCAACCCTGTCCCCGGTCCACCACCAGTTCATGACCCCCTTCAATCGCCCCACGTTTCCACCCATTCTTGTTCTGCGGCTGTTAGTCCCTCTGCTTCATACTTTCCTCTCCCTGTATGGTTCCTTCAAGAACTAAATCCGTATTCATTCACCATTTTGAACCAACCCCTCAGCTACTTACCCAACATCTGCAGCTTCCTGCAGGCTGGACCGTAGGCTGAACAAGCGCCAGGGACCCAAAGGGCAAACAACTGGGCTGGCCCGTGGCGTAGCAGTTAAGTGCGCACCCTGCACTGCTGGCGGCCCGGGTTTGGATCCCGGGCGCGCACCAATGCACCGCTTGTCAGGCCATGCTGAGGCCGTGTCCCATGTAAAGTGGAGAAAGATGGGCACGGATGTTAGCCCAGGGCCAGTCTTCCTCAGCAAAAAGAGGAGGATTGGCGTGGATGTTAGCTCAGGGCTGATCTTCCTCACAAATAAATAAATAAATAAATAAAATAGAACATGGTCTTCAAACAGATGGAGGCTGGGAACGTACTCCTTGGCATTTTCGCCTGGGGTGGAGGTTGTTCTGGGGGCCCTTTAGGAGGGGAAGAGAGGTGCCCACTTTATTTACTCCCCACCCCACCCAGTTAGTCTGTAGAGAGCCTGCCGCTCTTGGCCAACAGAGCGATGAGGACCTGGCAGCATAGCAGGCGGTCGTGACCACCAAGCAGTGTGGGGCAGGGGTTGAATGAAGGTGTCCCAGCCATCTGAGATTGTGAAGAGCAGGGCACCCCACCCAGAAAACCCACCCCTGACCAGATCACACCACAGCATGTTTGCCTCATCTGGCCCTAGGCCTTCCTGTATGGTGAGCAGGCACACTTGCCTGAAGGTGAGGTAGGGACTGACCAGCAGGGCTGGGTTCTGTGGGTCCCTAAAAGCACATAATGGATGTAGAAAGTCTCCTAAGAGTCCCTTGAAGTACATCATGGACACAGAAGTCTCCTCTCTGCTGTAAGAGTACGTAAATGTACATCATGGAGGTACAAGTCTCCTCTCTGCCATAAGAGTCCCTAAAAACACATCACAGATGCAGAAGTCGACTAGGGTTTGGAGAGCAGCTCTGACCACTTCATGTTCTCAGATGCAGAACCTGAGGCTGAGAGGGGCAGTGGGCTGCCAAGGTCACAGCCAGCACGAGGGCCACACCTGGGTTCTTTCTTCCTTACACCTCTGTTCCCACTCTGTTATTACCCACTCCTTCCTCCAAGGTCCCCTCATCTTTGAGTCTCCTCACCTCCTCAACCTCTCCTCTGCTGATACTCTATGTGACTCTAGTGGGTTGAACTGTGTCCCCCACAGAGATGAGTCCAAGTCCCAAGCCCCAGTACCTATGGATGTAATGTTCTTGAGAAACAGTCTTTGCAGATGTAATTAAGAATCTCAACATGTGATCACCCTGGATTTAGGGTGGGACTAAATCCCACGACTGGTGTCCTTTGGGACGACAGAGCCAGAGGGAGAATGCCCTGTGAGGATGGAGGCAGAGAGCAAGGAACACCAGGGATGGCCAGGGCCACCAGGGGCTGGCAGAGGCGGGAAGGATCGTCCCCTTGAGTCTTGGAAGAAGCGGCCCTGATGCCGCCTTTATTTTGGACGTCTGGCCTCCAGACCTGGGAGAGACTAAATTTCTGTTGTTTTAAGCCGCCCAGTTGGCAGCAGTTTGTGACAGCAGCTGTAGGAAACTAACATACCGACCAGCCTCCTCTCAGCCTCAGATCTGTAAACTCCTCATCTGTACAACGGGCACAGTGAAGCCCTGCTGGCACCCACACAGGGCCCGGGGCAGGGGTGGATTCCATGTCCCACCAGCCCTGGGCACAAGGCCTGCTCACGGGGAGTCTGCTGTGTGCATAGGTAACGATACCGCACTGGACACGTACAAATGTGCTACGAGGATACACCTCACAGTAAGTGCTCTTACCACGAGAATAAAAAAAGATGCAGTGCACGACACTGTGAATATCCTTAACGTCACTGAATCGTACTTAAAAATGGTTACAACGGTAAATTTTGTTGCAGAAAAAAAACAACTGTTTGTTGTTATTATTGTGATCACCCCTCCCCCAACACCCCACTCAAAATAACGGAGATGTCGCAGTTTCAAAGTCCACTTTACTCAGGCAACAAAAAAGAAGCTTAGAGCCAGAGGGAAGAGGGTAGGTGGCGGGAGGGCACAGCGTGGGTCTGGGTGGGGGCCTGGAGTCAGGACGGCAGGGAGGTGGCGGGAACTTGGCGGTGGATTCGGAGTTGTGCGAACAGCTCCCACACGTCTCCAGAGGACCAGCGCCTGCAGACAGGAGGCGGGGGAGCCTGGCTCCCGCCCCCAAGGGTGTTTCTCAGGCGGGCCAGGGGGGCAGGTCTGGGAGGCCCAGGTCCTTGCAGGAGGGGAAGGGGCAGACACCCGCCCGCCTGGGCCCCTGGTCAGTTGGTCTGGAGCCCAGGGCCCTGGAAGGCCGACAAGGCGATGAGGACCTGGGCGGAGTAGTAGGTGGCCATGACCACCATGCGGGCGTGGGGCAGGGGCTGGAAGAATGTGTCCCAGGCCAGCACAGCATCGGAGAGCGTGAAGAGCAGGGCGCCCCAGCTGGCGCTCCCACCTCTGGCCAGGCCACGCCACAGCATGGTGGCCAGGGCCAGGGCGTAGGCCGTCAGGGGCGGCACCATGCCGGGTGAGAGGTGCAGCAGCAGGAGGCCGCAGTACGGCACCGAGGCCAGCACGATGGGCAGCAGAAGGCCTGGCCGCAGGGGAGTGAGGCCGAAGGCCCAGAGGTAGAGCAAGTGGGCCGCAGCAAAGGCGGCCACGCCTGGAGGAGACAGAGGTGGGGGCGCCCCGTGAACCGCCGAGTCCTGCTTCCCCAACTCAGCTCGCTGCCCAGAGCCTGAAGGACAGGACTGTGCCGGAGCACCAGCTCCTCTCCTGGCCCCAGCACCCTCATCCTCCAGGATCACTACACCGGCCTCCATGGTTGTCTCCCTTTTCCCTACCCTTGGCACGAGAGCGATCCTAAAACGCACGCTGCGTCCTGTCCTTACTCTGCTCACAGCTGTCCACCGATTGTCCATTCTGCTCAGTTCCACTCACCAGGCCACTTGGAAGACACACCGCATGCCCCCACCCCAGGGCCTTTGCACTGGCCGGACCCTCTGCCTGGACCAGCCTTCCCCGGATGGACATAAGCTGGCTCCCGCACCCCCTTCAAGACATTATATTCTCAGCAAGGCTGTCCTCAACCGGTCTACTCACGACCGCAACCCCTAGTCCCTTGCTTTTGTTTCCCCTCCGCACCACTCACGCCTCCTAAGGGGACACTACCTGACTCTCAGTGGAACAAGGGCTCCATGAGGACAGGGGTTTGCGTGTGTCTCAGTCACTGCTGGCCCCTGGTGCCTTTCAACGCTGCCCGCTCATGGCAGGCACTCTATCGGGGAGCAGCCCCCTGCGCCCCGGACCCCTCTGTGTGGGGTCTGACAGGGGCAGTGCGGCCCCACTCACCGTAGAGGAAGGCCGCGGGCCAGAGGAGGCAGGCATCCCCCACGGCCGAGCACAGGAGGCCCCCCTGCAGGAGCGCGCTGGAGCGCACGGCCCGCAGGAGCACCACCAGGCAGAGGACAGGCAGGCACTTGACCAGGGCGCCGACCCGGGATGGCGGGGCCTCGGGGGTCCACAGAAGGAGGTAGACAGCACAGGTGAGGAAGAAGAGGCTCAGCCACCTGCCCACGTACGGCGGCTTCGGGGGACAAGGGGGCTGCTGAGTCTCTGGGGCTTACCCCAGCGCCTGAGACAAGGCTCCAAAACCCTCCTGGCCTCAGGGGCCTCAGCCAATCCCCAGCCCTTGGCGGTCAGGCCCCACCAGACCAGAACGCAGGTCTTGGGGCTTCCACCCCACCCTGACCTGGGGACCCCAGCCACGGTGCAGGGTTGGAGGAGCTGCTCAGGGACCAGAACATCCAGGCCCACAGACCCAGCCTCCCAGAAGGGAGGCCCCCCAATACCTCCAGGCTGCTTGGGTTCCCCGAAACCCAGGCCCAGTCCCTCCTACGCTGGACGGTCCTCACTTGGGCTGAGAAGCGAGACTCTTGGGGAAGCCCCTTTTTCCCGGCATCCATGTCGGCCTATAACCCCCCCAGAGTGGCTCATATGTAGGCACCAGTGGCTTTGGGGGTGGAGGGGACGGCGTGTGGTTACACGTTAACCCAAGGGGCGTCCCGTGGACTCTGGGACTGATAACAGGGCCCAGGGAGCCGCCTGGTACCCACTGATAAGGTGCCCCTTCAGGACCCAGGGGTCCCTACTCTCCTCACAGGCCCCCGTCCCTGGGGGGCCGTGCCAGCCAATCAAAGGGATGGGGTGCTGCGGCAAGGTGGTGCCATCAGCCCACGTCTCGGCCAGCAGGACCACCCTGCCAGAGCCACGGGACAGGACGGAAACTGCCTCATCCTCTCCCCGCCATACCCCTGCGGTCTGGGCTCTGGCCTCAGCAGGGCTGCCCCAGCTCCTTCCCTGCAGGACAGACAGGCCTTGGTGGCCTCCGCCACAAACGCTTGCTGGACGAGTGCACACCAAGGAGTTGTGCGAGGTCACCGTCACCGTGCCGGCCCCCAGCTTTGGATGTCACGTACATGTCGGGCAGGCGTGCCTGGTCTGTGCTGTAACTTTCTGCGTGGAAGGCATGGACCCACTGGGTCCCCGGAAATGGTTGCCAGGACCAGGTCCCAGACAAGGGGGGCCACTCCTGGCTCCTCCTCCTGGGAGACTCCTTCCTGGTCTGAACAGAGGTGTCGCCATCCCCAGCAGAGGACAGAGGTTTGGAGCCTCCTTCCACTCTTTGAGGCTTGCACCCCAAGGCTGAGGGAGGGCCGAGGTCCTGTGGCATGGTGTGGGAGCGGCTCAGGCTCTCCCACCCCTGGGCCCAGAACCCCAGGTCTGAGCAGCAGGAGTCTTCAACTGTCTTCCTTTATTTATTTATATTTGCAATATGAAATAGAAGCTCAGCACGAACACACGCACACTCACGCCGGCTTGGGGAGAGGGAGCTGGGACAAGGTCACTTGGCAGCTGGGCTGGACCCCAGGCCCTTGGGCATGGGAGGGGGACCCCAGCCGGACCCCTGCCTCTGGGTCTATGGGAGGTGCGGGGGTCTCGATGAGTGCATCAGGGCCCCGTGGGAATGACACCAAGGCGGCCCCCCTGGGACTGGGACCCCAGCCCCCACAGAGCTGGCTGGGCCAGGCAGAGGGTCCTTTAGCTCCCAGCTCGGGTGAAAGTGCAGGGTCCGGGGCCGGGGGTGGACAAAGGCACAGCCCGCACTCGGGCCCTCCCCGAGGTGACCTGAGCTGAGAGGCCGTCTGCACCGGAGGGCGGGGGCGTGGCGGGAGGGGAGAGGGTGCAGGGGCCCCGCTGCGACACGGTGAAGGTCCCCCCTCGCCCCTCGGCCTGGCTTCCTTCTGGCTCTCCTCCCGCCCACTCTCTCCCCCTCAATACATATATATATTTATATATATATATAATATATAATATAGGTCTCTCTCTCTCTCTCTCTCTCTCTCTCTCCTCTCTCTGTACTCGACTCTTTATCTTTATTCTGGGAGACAGACTCCGTAATTTCTTTTCTCAGTGCAGATGCGGGTGGGGGTGGGGGGCCTATCTCCCTGCACCAGCCTCCTGGAGTCCAGAAAGAGCGTGGGCGGGGGTGGGGTGATGGGGCAACCGGGCCATCGTGGGACCCGCCCTGCCCCCCACCCGGGCAGGTCCACATGGAGTACGGAGGATTTGGCCGCCACGGCTGGGACCAGGCAGTTACCTGGGAACCGACAGAGAGAGCCGTGTGAGGAGCCACCCACCGCCCTCCAAGCCCTACCCGCAGCCCCCAGTCCACCTGCCCCAGTCACTCACTGGGAGCCCGGGCACAGCGGCCCTCCCGGGGCAGAGCCATTGGGTATCGGAGGCGGCTCAAGGGCCTGGGCACTGTCGGGGAGAGGGCATGGAGAGGTCAGTACCTCCCCACACAATGCCTGCTGCCCGCGAGGCCACCCCGTGCTCACCTCTGGCTTCGGGGGAGCCCCAAGGGCTCTGGGCTCTTCTCCCCCTCCACGGTCTGGGGGGGCTGGTGGGCCCCAGGGGCTGGGACAGAGGTAGCAGGGTCTCTGGTTGCACTGAAGAGGGTCAGAGGGGTTATGGTACCGATGCCCTGCTGGACGCTCTCACCTCCCAGCCCACTGGGTAAGCGGTGAAGGAGCGCACAGCCAGGGGAGTCCCGCACGTCCACGGGAGCTCCACATGGGCTCAGCACACTCCCGTCCGCTTCTGGAAGCCTTCTGGCCCCTGAGGCTGAGCTCCCGGGGGCCTCTGGGCTCCAGGATCCCTCTCTTGCGCCCACGTGTGGCCATAGGCACAACCTGCAGCTGCCACGAGGCCCAAGGCAGTGGCACGGACCTCAGGTGTCCGGCAAGGGCCCCTGAGAGCAGCTCCGCGGCAGGGACAGCCCAGGGTCAGCTTCCACCCGCCTCCCCCTTGGCCAGCAGCTGGCCCCAGCTGGTCACCTGTCCAAGGAGCTGGGGGTGGAGCACGTCCCTCTGTGGGTGGCCTGGAGGTCCCCGATGCTGACCAAGGCCTGGCAGGGGGCTGTGCGGGGGAAGAGAGGCCCAGAGGCTGGAGACTCAGCAGGTTCTGTGCTGCCTCGCTCCTCAGGTGGGCATGTAGAAGGCCCGGGGACGGCGGGGAAGGGCGACGGGGTGTGGAGAGCAGTGGTGGGCAGGGGCTTACCCGAGGGCTCCGCTACTTTGCTGCCATCTGTGGCTTCCTGAGGTGCTGAGGGGTGTGTGGGGTCCTGAGACCTGGGAGGCGAGAGAAGTAGCCCAAGGGGCGCTGGGGTCAGCACTTGAGCCCAAGGGAACCAGGACCCAGGCCAGTGCCTCCCCACCCTGCCTCCTGCCTCACCTGAGCTGCAGGGCATCACGGGCTGCAGGGCCAGCTGGGCTCTGGGCTGTGAGGTTCCAGGGCATGGCGAGGGGCCCCTGTGGGACCGGGGACCCAGGGCGAGGCTCCTCCTCCCTGGAATCTTGGGGGCCGGTCATGGCGTCCGTAGGCACTGGCTTAAAGCTGGCTGTCCAGTTGGAGCCTGGGGTGGGGTGGGGGCAGGGTGAGCACCACAGGCAGACATCTTGCATGTGCCCACACCCCGCCCCACTCCACACGTTCACCTACCCGGAGGCTGAGGGCCGGGGCTGGGGTAAGAAGGGGGCCCGGCCCCTCTGCTGGCTGCCCGGCCATCGCCGTCCTCCTCCTCCTCCTCCTCCTCATCATCCTCCTCCTCCTCCTCGCTGTCTGTGCTGCCTCCACTCCTGCCCCCAGAAACCACCCGTCAGCTGCAGTGCAGAACAGAGACACCCGTCTCCACCCTCCGACCACCCAGCACTGACCAGGCAAACATCTGTGAGGGAATGAACAGAGGTGACAAAAGGGATGGAGGGGAGGGGACAGCAGGGAAGCCACGGGAGGGCACGTCAGAGGCCCCCCAGCCCAGAGTGTGAAGACGCCTGGAGAGAGAGCCCTGCGTCCCACCACGGGAAGGCGGGCAGGAACCACGGGTGCCCGTGTGGAGAGCAGCACAACCCCCAGCACCAAGGGCAGGAAAAGCCTCACCGCAGGGTCCGCACGGAACGGACCCGCCCACCACCTGGTCTGGCCTCTCAGGGGACGGCCGACCTGGCTCTTCCTCTAACTGGAAACTCGGATGGACTTGTGTCCCCAGCATGTCCTCGGCTGAGAGCAAAGTCCGACATGCACAGCTGCTCCAATGACACCGGCTGAATGCTGACCGAGAGGCGACTCGGGACCGGGGAGAAAGTCCGACTGGCCTGTGTCCACCCACTGGCCAACAGCTAAGCAAACTACAGGGTTTCTACAACGCTGAGAGCACGCCGCTGTCACAATAGTCATCCACTGCTCTAACCAGAAAGGACTATACCTACACAGAGTTAAAAATAAACTAAGATAAACAGCAAACGGGGAAGAGGAGGGAGCTTCCTAAACCTGAAAAGGGCATCTCTCAAACCCGCAACTGACATCACACCCGCTACTAACACCACACTCGACGGGGAGGACCAAGTGCTCCCCTGAGATCAGGAACACGACAAGAGGGCTGTTCTCCCCGCCTCTGGTCCAGACCGTGCTGGAGGACACTTAGGCAACAGAAAGTGAAGTCAAGTGGAAAGGAAGGAGCAAAACTCTCTCTAATTGCAGATGGCATGATCTTGTCTCTAGAAAATTCTAAGGAATCCACTGTTAGAACTAGTGAGTTCTGCAACGGTGCAGGATACAAGATCAATGCACAAAAATCTACCATATTTCTACACACCTGTGACAATCTCAAAATGATTCTGACAAAACAATTCCATTTACAATTACATCAAAAAAAATAAAATACTTCGGAATAAATTTAACAAAAGAAGCATAAAACTTATACTCTGAAAACTCATACAACGGGAAAAACTGAGAGCCATTCCTCTGAGAACAAGAAAGAGACAAGGGTGCCCACTCTCACCACTGTTATTCAACACAGTACTGGAGGTTTGGCCAGAGCAATTAGACAACAAAAATGAATAAAAGGAATCCAAATAGGCAATGAAGAAGTGAAACTCTCACTATTTGCAAACGACATGATTTTACATATAGAAAACCCTAAAGAATCCACTGGAAAACTATTAGAAATAATCAACAACTACAGCAAAGTTGCAGGGTACAAAATCAACTTACAAAAATCAGTTGCATTTCTGTATGCTGTTAACAAATTAACAAAAAGAGAACTCAAAAAGATAATCCCATTTACAATCGCAACAAAAAGAATAAAATATCTA